CCGCCCTCCTCCGTTCCACTATCCTGCCTTCTGCCCACTCTCTATCTCGCTATTCCCGCATACCTTCGGATCCCTTTCGCAACAATTTTTCACGTTAATTAAATGCTCGACGGATTTGTGATGTCAGCCAGCAAGTTGTGAGGCTGGCTCGCGAAGTACACAAAGTTTTTCGACCTAATCCCTTCGGATACTTCAGCCGCCCTGACAAGCCTCATTTATTATTGTCATGCTTTTTCGCGCAGCTTCCTATCCGCAGCAATGCAACGACCTCGCCATACAACGACAGTCGCTGTTTGAATATTTCATTTTAGTAATCCCGACGGCCCAGAATGGATATTAAGACAATTTCAATCCTCGACCTTTGTAAAGGAGCGGTGAGAACAGGGTTTTATAACCAGTCCACTGGAATATACATCGTCACGTATTTTCTTAAATCGACACCAAGAACTCGAATCCGAGATAACTAACCTATGCGATCTTCAGCCGTCTACCCTTCGTCCATGCATCCGTATGAAAGACGGCCAATTTTCATTTCACGGGAAACTGACGAGCCTGTATGAACAGTCTAAATTCTGCCAAAACGAGAGTTTTGGAGCAAACATACCAAAGGATAGTATATACATAGATATAATAAGAGAACCCTGCTGCAGAGGATTCGAGGACTCAAGGACTTCAGGACTCGAGAGGGTATCCCTAGGGAAAGTATTACGTTTCCGGTAACCCTACCAGTCCTCCTTAGGCCACTTCCGATTAGTTGAACACTGAGTCTCTTAAGTCCTACAAGGTGGTAACTGAACCTCATAATTCTGAGGGAGATTTTTAATGCAAACTATAGGACATTTAGTTGCACGGCACGAAAATTAACCTCCTTGATAAATATTCATTTGGAATTCTTAAAACTTGGATGGAGACTGCAAAATTAATTGATACAAAAAAACTATTGCTTAACTGTCTGTTGTATCTTCTATGGTATCTTGATTCAGATACCCTCGGGCTTCTTTTACCGAAGTTGTTGGTTCTAAAAAGTTCGTCGTTTCTACCTCGCGAAATAATATTACTTGAAGTTTTAATACTAGAAAGTACAACAGTAATTTTCTAAAGTCATGCGCAATTTTCAAATTGTAACTGAGACTGTTAACACTGAATATATCTCTGACTTGATAATTCTACTTTATTGATAATTCAGTTATTATACAGGGAAAGCAGTATGGGGACATTGAAAATTTTTAGTTATTTAATGCCAATTTTCATATTTTTGTCATTAATCCTCTTTTGGTATAATTTAATTCATTGTATTTTCCATACGATTCATGATATATTTAATAACTATCCCATTAATTAATTATAAGCGTTGCAAAGTGTATGAAAAATTGAGTTATTCGAACAAAATTATATTCACGTATTATAAATTTGTTCCACTTATTTATATTTTATTTTCTCTGTTATGGTACTGTGCTGTAATACTCAAAATAATTGGCACATACGGGAGACTGTCTCATTATACTTTAACGCGATAGCGGAATACCCAGAGCCCCTGAACGCCGACAACCAGTTATGCTCAACCGTTGGATGGCCATCATACGGCAGGGTATAGGGTTCACTTACTAAAGGCTATACTAGAAATCAAATTACCCGTATATTAGCAGATATATCACTATTTAATTCTTTATTAACAATAATCTCTGAAAACTGAAAATAATTGATTCATTAATTATCTACACTAATCAAATTTTGTTATTTGCTCCTCCATTCATATTCCTGTATGTTACTCGTAATAACGTTAAACATAAATGCGTTTACGCGTTTTAAAAGCAGTAATACCAGTCTGTATACTGAATTTAAAAGTCTGATATACACGATAAAAAAGTCATGTATGTTCTATCAAATGATACTCGGCGATTGTCGAAATTGCAACAGGAGAGAAGCACAGTGGCAAATGTCACAGGCAAGCCGGTGTTACGCGTTTGCACGAAAACCTCAACCGGAGAGAAACTCCTGATGGACGTGACTAGCGAGCAGAGGAGCAACTGTTGAATAGATAGCTTACCGACGAGGAGCACGCCCACCTAATTCAATTCGGTCCAAATAATTTGGCTCTCTCCACAGGATCAGAATCCACTCGGTAGAAAATGTAGCCGGTTATCGACGTTTTTCCTGCTTTAAAATATATTCAAAATAAAAAAATTGAGCGTGAAAAAAATTATATTACGTTTTTTCATGTTACTCGGTCATCAGTGCCAAAGAATCCAAAAAAGAATTTTTAATGAAAATATTTTCTTTAAAAAAAAAAACCAAAACTACCTGATAACGAATTCCGAAATTTGAACCCCAATTTGAAACCCATCGCCATCCGCTTTGGCATGCCTATCGCAGGAAATTAATTGTCCAATGAATCATGTATCGTATCACGGCAGACATTATTTTTTCCACGTATGTTTAGCACTGATAACACCTACCAACCTAGCGGCTATCCTATCTGCTTCATGTTATATTGATTTATGTTCATGGTGGTGGGCGTACACTTCTAACCGCAAATCCTCGTATCTTTCTACACTAGCGTTCGATGCACTTGCTAGAAACGGAATGATTGCATTGTCATTCGTCACTGACTCAAATCCGAAGTGCTCGACTTGAAAGGATCGACGATAGGCGCCTGATACGTGTCGCGTAAACATCGACCCAGTATACTAATACTACTCCGTTAGAACGGTTTTAATCATCGAACCTGTCTATTGTTTTCCCGTCGTCATACTTCCATGACATAAAAACCATTGCATTTTCTATATCTATATGTATACACCGAGTATATAGCCATTAAAAATTCTCCGACATGTAGGAAACGCATGATCGATGACCTCCTCTTGTCAGCAATCTAACCCGCTTTGACATTTCTCAACGTTACAGCCGGCAGAGAACTCGACGGCGACTCGAGGGGTTATAGAAGCGCCGAGGAACAGGCACGAGAATTGACCCGCAGCATCCGCAGAGAAGTGAACAAACTGTCCGAGCAATGGAACGCGCTGATCGAACGTAGCGATGCGTGGAAGCGAAAACTCGACGACACTACAAACGTAAGTATCTGATATTTTACATTGACACGTAATATTTGACAAGCATCGTCACGCACTCTATAAAACCTTAAAGTAAAAAAGTACCTCGAATTGATAAATCATAAATGTACAAGTGTAATTCCATAACAAAAAAATATTTCAATTTGATATACGGCTTTTAAAAAAATCCAACTATTCAAAATCTCCGCCATTTAATTCCCCCCGAGTATTTTCATCTTGGCAGGAATTCAACGTCCCAGTCGATTCCTCTGATAATAACGTACATTCGGCATTATTAAGTGTATTGCCAGAGGACCACTACTGGCTGCAGAGGGTATCAGTCTCGATTTCGCCCTATCACTTTATTATTGCCTGTGCAATTTTCTCTATCGCTCCGCCGTTCCATTTGTCGAAACGGGTTTTGTGCCCTAGAGGGGTGTAGCCCTACCCTTGTACGAGCCTCCTCGGACGTGGTCATATATATATATAAGAGCTAGGAGGGAAGTTAGGGACGATCGCCATGGGGGTCGTAGTTAAAGGAAAAATACATTTCTGGCTGATCGAGTGGCGTGTCGTGGTTAGCTGCTTAAGGCTTGACTCACTTATGGCCGCCATGATCGATTGGCAAGTGACACGTGTAATCCTCCTGTGTTATTGACCAACGAAAATAACCTTACGCACTTTATACGTGAAAAATACATTGTAGATATTACCTACAATTCCACTTCCACAATTGCACTTCTTGTATGTACTGGGTGCATTGCTGGGATGTTACTCGAGGGTTGTTGCTTTCATTTACCATGAAAGGGAGTAATCGGTTAGTATCAACCACGTGGGATATCATGCACGGAATGAGCCTCGGCAGAGAAAGGAAGAAAGAAAGAAAGTGCCTGGTTGCACCCTTTTTTTTTTCTTTCACAATAGAGCGAGGTTAATTCTGTACCTGGTGAACCTGAAGGGTAGTCCAATTTGACGGTATCTCAACGCGGTGCGACCTAGTTCCTCACTTCGATGAAAGGAACTCTAGATGAGTATTGCTATCCTGATTATATATACGTATATATTTGAATAGCATATGTAAACACACGTTAAACATTTCACTGATGCCTTGAAAGATACGACGATACAGTACGGTTTTAATGCTACAACGTGGGTGGAATGTACCATGATTCTCTTAATTTTTTTAATGCTCTGTACACACTCGTAAGCCAGTTTACGATTACATCTTGGTCACCGCGAGGCGTCTTTCACTACGTTGTATAACGAGCCATGGATTACTTCCTTGCATACTAATCTATGTGAAATATTTATGGCTGACCAGTAACTTGAATGCATCACTGTTCACTGGGGTTATTGGTATTTCACCCTGGAGGCTGTGATCAGTCAGTCAGAACAGTTTGATCATTGAGAAATTATTTCACTGTGTTTTAATCGTTACTTTAACATCATAGAAATCCGACTCTCAAGTCGTATATTCACGAATAAAAAAGTTCCACGGTATAGAAGACAGATAGAGGGTTTGTGTCTTTTTTTGTATTTTTTTTTTTTTTCGCAAATCCATAGAGACCTATATCTTAATTAGGGACAATTTTAATCCAGTGATTCATTTACGAGAAAAATGGTAAATTATATTTAACAAAAAATTTAATTCTCCACAGACCTCTTATAGTATCTACTAATTAATAGAGATCCTATTTCGTTAGAGTACTTACCGTAATACCGACTTCCTAGGTACCGAGGAAGGTAAAGTGATTTTTCCTTTTATTCATTTTTTTGTCATCTTATTCCTTAATTAGAAGTAAAGTAACGTTATTCCTCGAAGAAGTGCCCGGAAGTTTCCTTACAGTTTTTCTCTGTTCGCCGATGCAAAATGGTAATGACCATCATTACTAAATATTACGCGATTACTTCGTTAGACAATCGACAAGTGTATTTACAGCTGATAACGCCTAATCAATTTCTACGTGCGAATGAATTATAAGAACTCAATAGTTGCATCGATTAGTACAATCACTGATACCAATTGCCGACAACAAAAAAAAAGCCACTGGATATCAAAGTTACCGTGTAATCAGTGAAGTTTTCACAAATACATAATTTATGAGTAAAACACAATTTAACTTTTAAATGCCTCTATACACGTATACAAACTCATCGACCCTTAAGTTATCAGTCATGAACGCTATAATAATCGCGACCAACACATTTCGCACCACCCCATATCGTTATTCCTTCGCGACCCTAATTAAAAACTCCCTTTCAGCTCGCGCAACGAGCAACCTCAGAAAAATTCTATATAAACCAACGTCCTTGGTCTCGTCTATACCGAACTAGATATACCTAATTCAAAGTAACTACCGTGACCAGCTGTGACGTTTCCTTTAAGAATAGATCGTCTCTTTTTACTACAGGATAAACAAGTGGAGCAGACCCGAGTGTCGTTTTCGTCCGTACGTACTGTCGAACGTATTTTATTTTTACGTCTGTCAAAACACAAGAGGAGTCCAAGCTTTTTGGCTTTATTAGCCGGAAACTACGGCTAATCGTCGAGCACGAGTTCGATATACCTTTTTGTCTATCAGGATCTAACTGTTTAACGAAGATAAGTATTACTCGATTACAAGCTGATATCAAAAATGAAGGATCTCTGACTAGAAGCCAATGCGATAGACCCACGGAGCCACGTAGTTAGGTATGCAAAGCAGGAAGGCAGCAGGCTGGCTGCGCCAATCAGAGGAATGTACCTGGCTCCGCTACTTCTCCGTATACCGTATAGAGAACGAGCCAAGCCGAATGAATCCGTACAGAGTATTCAGCAGATTGTACAAACTCAAACACCATCTTTCGAATTATTAGTCTGACCATTGGATTATCTTTCGTATTATTCGCTATGACTATACGTGGGTACGTATATGCTAAAATGGATAGAGAGATCGGGGAAGATGGATATAGGTATATCTGTACGTACAACGTAATGACTTGATGACCTAGGAACACGAACCAGATGATGTATACAGATCAACCATAGTAGCTGTCGGGTTGAAATTTTCAAAAATTTCAACACTATCCCTTATAGCTGTGATTAATATATTACGTATCTCGCGGGACAAAATAATTTTAACTAATAGATAATCGATATATATACATATACATACATGAGAACGCATATGTGTTTTCGTTGCGCGAACATTTCTAGTGACGTTAATGTGCCTGACGGTGGCATCAGTATCAATCTAAATCCCAACGAGAAGGTACTTAATCAGTCAATTAGCGGCGAGCCACTAATTGGTTAATTACTGAGCAAATTTGTACCCGGCAAACCGTAAACCTATGGAAGGAGCTAAAATCAAGGATTCCAGAATCTGAGAAACGCGCGTTCTATCGGCGGCTAATACACGCTTCAGTCATTTCCAGCTTCCTCGCTCTGAGATTAAGGAGAAATAGGAAGATCCCTAATAGAAAAGAACCTCCCGACCGTGCTTTACCTTAACCCGTAATAGATCTTCGTCGAGGATACTTAGGGATACCTATGTATACGTAAGATCAAAGCAACGTAAACGGTACAAAAGGCATAAGTGCCGTGGAAGAAAAATATAAGTGGTCAATAATTTGTTGGGCAAAAAAGAAAGAGAAAAAAGATGAGGAAAAGAAAAGCGAATATCCAGACCAACCAATGATAATCCCTCGTTACGTTCCAACCTTTAACCCCGTTAGAGTCGTCCGACGCCTCTGATATGAGCAATTACGTTTGGATCCATTTTTCTTTTTTTTGCATTCTCTTCTTTCGTCCTCTAGTCGTTTCTAATCTGTTTCTTTTTCACGACGCGCGCTTACAGGCGTCCGCGCGCATTAGTTGTATAGTAATTGCACGGCGCTTTACGTCGGACGCATCAAACGGTGGGAATGCAGGTACCCAGGGGTCAAAATTGCATTAAAGTTGACTCGTCAGAAGCAGGCGTTGAACCTATTGAGTAATTCACGTAGTGCCAGTGGGAAAGTTAAAGCTAATTTAAATTAAAACTACTATCGGAAACGGGCACTTACACGAGGGTTACTCGTGTGGAGTTACCACTTGCCTTAATTTAATACCTCCCTCAAGTTTAACTGTGTATTAAATTATCTTTGTTCATAATTACTAAACACATGGGCATGAAAATATTTTTACGTAACATTACATCTATATTATAAACCACTTCTCAAATTTTTTCTTATTAAAATTTTTCTCATAAAATATTATCCTTAAGAGTTCGAATTTGAACTCTTGCTCTTTTGCACTTAACCTTTCTAAAGTGTCTACGTAGGTATAATCTCATGGGATTATTCCCCGAGCACGATGCTTCTTCGTATCTTTACGGCTCTGATAACCGGATAAGCAGCATTTGTGCTCGTATGTGGAACCAGTCCCGCGAAAGTAAAAGTCTTACTGTTCCAGGGGTTCTTGGTACCTGAGGCGTCTCGGATTTTGTATATCTGTATATACGCATGCACTTAACTGCATAGGTATCCATGCAGCTATTCGATTGGATACAAATTAAAGCGCGTTAAAGTGTCAGACGCGTATAAATCCCGTGTAAATAATTCAGGAAGTCGCGCGCGAAATCCCTAGAATCTAGGGAAACTCGAGTGGGGCGCTTAATGATATTGTAATGTTGTATTGTATTGTATGTCGGCGGATCCAGGCTCGTACATTATACATGAGTTATCGGTTGTATATATCGACATTGCGCAACTATATATAGCCATAACGGGGCTAAATTTACATTATGTTTATGTGCTAAGTAATTGAACAGGACGTGTCCGAGTGACGTGCGAGCCTCGTTGCACGCCTCTTGAGGTTGAAGATCAGGCCGCGCCAAGCATTCCAAACCGATGGTAACTTGAACTTTTAGCCATTGATACGTGTCCAAAAGCAATTTTTTTTATCTTCTTTCGTTTTCACCAAAATTTTTTTTAATTTTTAACATTGCGAAACGCGGCCTCCTCCCGCCATATATATTTCGTTACACCCAGTTACATTTTGT